CCATTCCACTATATAAGGAGATAAGCTGACAAACAGTCTTATTTGGTAACTTCAACCCTCTGTCCTTCACTCTATAACACTCTGCATGTTGATAGACATTGCATGGGGATGACTGTAAAAGTGTGAAACACACAAACAAGGATCAAGCTCATTGGGGAAAACTCTAACACCTAACACTCACACCACTTTTGTCTTCTTAGGTTAAGTCTCAAGAGTTTTTGTTTCAGAATGCATTTTTATGATAGGGTGTGGTTTAGAATAGTTCAATAGAACAAAGTATGTCTTTCAGGGAACCTGGTCTCTCAAATGCAAAGTTCTTGATCACAGTTTTCTTTATTGACATGAAACATGACTTCTAGTAACTTTTATGACTCCCATGAGTTTTTATTATGTCACTACACTGCAAAGCAAAGGGTACAAGTATGCTGTCATGTCTAAATGGTACTGTGTATAAAACCTCTTATTCAAAAGTCTCTAAGCAAGTTGACTCCCAAGCATGCTGGCTTCACTCACACTGTACTTATCTGACCATGAAGAAATCTCCTTTGATTGATTACAACTGTCCACCTCCTATATCTCTACTTGGAGTACAACTAGCTGGTCAATGGGGGGGGCAATTGCTTGCCTTTTGACCTGCCATTGCACTCCTTATATACTCCAAGAACCTCTATCTACATTTTACATGTGTTTTATATGGGTTACTGCAGTCCAAATTACAAATATGAAAATTTAATGAATGTGTGGTATATTTTGTAGTCTATCTCTGTGAACACTATGGATTTTTGTAGTGTCACATTTTTAATTTTCAAATGCATCAGTGTTGCATGCATATGCAGAGCTAACCAATGTAGTTATTCTTAGCTTGGCATGATCTTGCATGTTTCTTTTCTATGGCCTGGTTACTGGTTTGACAGATGGCATCATATAATGATTAATGTTTCCTGATGTGCATGCATATGCATTACCAATAGCCTTTGGTCTTTCATTGTTCCCAAGTTTTTAAACAAAATGCCCTGTCTTGGCTTGTCTTTTCATTACAGAGGACACTCTGAGGATGTTTTCAAATGTCACTTTTAGTTGTCAGGGGGTTCCCATTATATCTCATATAATAGAATGTGTCTTTTTCCCATGTTTGTACTTGTGACTTTGAGATGCATCAGTCTTTGATTGTACATGGGAATTGCTGTACATGACTTTCTGAATGGCTGCAAGCCACACTAAGTCTCTATACATTTACTACTTAGGTGTAGTTTAGTCTTTTCAATGTTTTGGACATACCACTAGGCATCCACATTGTTGTTCTGTATATCTTGTAAAAAACATGAGTTTCACATTAAATCCATTATGTGTTTCTAAACCCTTAGTAGTAATGCAATTCTTCTCCCTGCATTGGATGTTTACTTTAGAGCCTCTTTGTGCTCTATTTCATGGTAGGTGAATCTTAGACAGGATCCAAGTATAATGTCATGACACATACTGCTGCCAGTTCCAAAGCCTTTGTCCTATTTTCACATTCCATGCATTTGCACTTTTAGTCAACTGAGCCAGGTATGCTCATTGACTCTTTGTATCTATGCAATTGTACATAGTGTATTTCTTAGAGATGACCTTTTATTGGTCAAATCATTAAAATCGAATTTTATACAGGTGAAATGGTTTCATCTGTATCAATGTCCCTTGCTCCAGATGTGTCCATTTCAAAATCAGCAATTCAACTTTTTCCTATCAAAACTGCCTTATTTGTGCTCCTCATTTGTTATCCTCAAGCTTGTTTTGTAAGCTGGTCACATGATAATTATTCCTTCAACCTCACAGCAGCACTCAAAGCTAACTAAAATGTTTGAGTTTTCTGAAAATAAAACCAATGAGCAACCACCCAATGAACCACACAATGGGGAATCAGAGAATCTCTGGCTGAGGGTCATACATTGACCCTCATCATTCTCAATTGAAAATGTGTCTGAGCCAGTAGACTGGGTGTTATGGTACATTCATATATACCTTACACATATCTACTGTTCCCTTTCAATCTGCCAGAGACTCTATTATTTTCTTACCAATTTCTCTGTATTTTATGAATTATAACTAGGCAACACGGGTATACCCAGACTTGACATGTTTGATCATATACGACGCAACACGATTGCTTGACTATATTTGGCGTACGAGCTTTAGGCACACCAAGTGCACCAAATATGCCGAACAAGAGTTCCAGAACCAGCAGCAGACTCAGAAGAGCCTGGATTAGGAGGGAAGGTTCTAAGACCTTCCTCCAGGATCTAGAAGTAGTAGATGGAGAAGAAATCAAGATACAATACGCAACATCATGTTCCTACTCCACTACAGTTCAAGTAAGCAAGGAAGAGCTAAGCAGATGGAAGAACACCTATGATAGGGACCCACATTTCAGTTTAGTAATCAAGAACAAGAAGGAAGAGGATGAGACAAACCTTGCACCTTCACAGTATCATTATTCTGAGGACGGACTCATTTACTTTGAAGACACTGCAGGCAACACGTGATTGTGCATACCAAAGGAAATGCATGTTGAGGTAATGCAGGAAGGGCACAATACGATAACCGAGGCAGCTCATGGAGGTTATTTTAAAACATATAACCGAATCAGTGGCACTTACTACTGGCCCCGGATGTCGAGAGAAATCAAAATCTTCATAAACATGTGTGACATGTGCCAGAAGACAAAACCAAGGAGGCATGGCCCTGTAGGATTACTACAACCAATCCTGGTGCCGTCGCAACCCTTTGAAGTAGTTAGTATGGATTTTATACCAGAACTACCGAATTCAAATGGATTCAACAATATATTGGTAATTGTGGATAAACTTACCAAGTACGTGATCCTAATTCCAACTATGACAAGGATCACAGAGGAGGAAACCACTAAATTGTTTTTCAAACATGTCATCTCGAAGTTTGGCATTCCTCGACAAGTGATTTCGGATAGGGACACGAGATGGTGGGGCAATTTCTGGAAGGAGATCTGCCGATTGATGGGAATGAGAAGAGCCCTGACGACGTCATACCACCCTCAGGCTGATGGACAAATGGAGATCTTGAATCAAGGCCTGGAGATCTCAATTTGTGCCTATATTGGCCCTGACAGAGATGACTGGAGCGGGATGTTAGACGCCTTGTTGCTTTCTTACAATTCATTGCCACATACCACTACTGGCTTCAGTCCTGCATACCTCTTATGTGGCTTTCAACCCATCACCAGTTCCACCGTTTTAGGGCAAGCACCGAACATCAATTGAACAGAGATCTCGGATTCAGGGAATGTCGATCAGGAGACGCTGCACGACAAAGTGCTCAATTTGGTAGAAGGCTTCACAGTGGAAAGAACACAAGCCAGGGATGCACTCCTCTTGGGGCAAGTATTTCAAAGGAAGGCATATAACAAGGGGAGACTTAACTGGGAATTTGTCGAGGGAGACAAGGTTGTTATCAACCAAAGAAACCTTGGTTTGTTGAGGGATGAGAAAGGGGTGATAAACTCCTAACAAGGTACAAAGGTCCATTTGAAATCATCAAAAAGATCAGTGCAGTGGCTTACCAGCTGCGTATGCCCGCTTTGTATGGGATGCACCCCATTTTGAATATAGAGCACCTAGAAAAGTATCAGGAGTCTCCCAGTGACTTTGGAGAACGCCCTCAACTCACAACGAATAGGCTGAACTTCGACGTGTTGCCAGAATATGAAGTTGATTGGATTGTAGCCGAACACACCCAGAAAGGCAGGAACGGGCATAAGAGACTCGTGGCTACCACTTTTATGATAAAACTAAGGCAGTTGCCTACAGCACTGTGTGTAAAATGCCATGGTTTTTTATGAAAAATCTCAGATAAGGCTGGCAATTTGTCATTCTCATAATGCCTTGGATTTCTTTCATAACCCATAGCAAAGCATGGTGTAGGCAATTTCATTAGATATCAACCCTCTTTCATTGTCAATTTCATATCTTTGCAATGCATTTTTCATTTCTAATAGCCTGCATTCTCATTGCCTTTCATTTGAAATCCAGTGCATTTTCATTGTATATTTCATTAGGTATTCTGTGCACTTTCATTTTCATTTCATTCTTGATGTCATTGCAATTTTTCATTACCATTTCTTAGAATTTTCATTAGGATATTTCATTGGGTCCTCTGGTGCTTTCATTGCCATTTCTTTGAATTTTCATTAGGGTATTTCATTCAGCTCTCTGGCTCTTTCAATACCATTTCTTTGAATCTTCATTAGGATATTTCATTGCATCCTCTGGTGCTTTCATTACCATTTCTTTGAATTTTCATTATGATATTTCATTTAGGGTATGCAACTTCCTTTTTTGGTTATTTTTCCCACAATATAATAATTGCAGCCTCTTCTCTTAGGTTTCTAAATCTGTTGAAATCATATTGTTTGGTGCTGTCTTCATGAAGAAAAATGCAAAAAGGTCGAAAAAACCCAGCGGTGAGAAAATTCTTTTACCTCATATCTCCACAATGGAAGCACTTCAGAACATAATTCAAACAGATTCTGGAAGCTATGGTAAAGGGCTACAACTTTCATTTTTGACTATTTTGGGAAATTGGTCATGTGATCACCCTCCCAACAACCCAAACAACCCATGTGATATGATCATTGTTTTTGGTAATGAAAGCATCAAAGGGCCCAATGAAATATCCTAATGCAAAAGCTAAGAAAAAGTAATGAAAGCACCAAGGAGCCTGATGAAATATCCCAATGAGAAATTTAAGAAACTGTAACAAAAGGGTAATGAAAGGGCCAGAAGGCTGAATGAAATATCCTAATGAAAATTCAAAGAAATGGTAATGAAAGCACCAGAGGACCCAATGAAATATCATAATGAAAATTCAAAGAAATGGTAATGAAAGCACCAGAGGATGCAAAGAAATATCCTAATGAAAATTCAGAGAAATGGTAATGAAAGCACCAGAGGACCCAATGAAATATCATA